GCTAATTGACATAATTTGAGTCAATTGGAGGTGTATCTGTGGATGTATTTCAAGGCCTACCTTCAAACTCAGTGCCTCTTTGCTTGACATGGGATAATCAAAAGAAATCAGCAAAGACCTCAGAAAGAAAATGGTAGACTTCCACAAGTCTGGTTCATCCTTGGGAGCAATTTCCAAATGCCTGAAGGTACCACGTTCATCTGTACAAACAATAGTACGCAAGTATAAACTGTCGCTCGTTGTCTCTGATTGGGGACAATACTTAGGCAGCCTATTGGCACTGTCTAGTTGTGGGATCTTGTTCCTTGTAAGGTATGTTGTGTGTTCTACCTTGGACTTCACGTTTCGGTTGTTGTTTTGTCGTTGTGTTTATAAGTTAATAAACATGTACGTATATCACGCTGCGCCTTGGTCTGACCCGTCATTCAACGAACGTGACAGAAGATCCCACCACACAAGGACCAAGCAGCAAGAAAAAATGGGGGGGGGGGGGGGCACACGGGGTGGATGGCGGAGCCTAGTGTCAGAGCAGAGCCAACTCCCCGTACTCACGCGAGGAAGGGTATGACTGGGCAGGCTCCGGGTTATGCGGAGCTACGTACTGTGTCGCCAGTGCGCCGGCACAGTCCTGTACGTCCTGTGCTTGCACCACGCACGTGCCGTGCGAAGATGGGCATCCAGCCAGGACGGGGTGTGCCGGCTCAACGCTCCTGGTCTCCAGTACGCCTCCTCGGTCCTGCATATCCTGCGCCAGTTCTACGAACTGTATCGCCAGTGCGCGTGCACAGCCCAGTGCGTCCTGTGCTGATACCTCACACATACTGTGCGGAAGTAGGCATTCAGCCAGGGCGGGTTGTGCCAGCTCTCCGCTCCAGACCTCCAGTCCGCCTCGCCAGCCCGGCCCGGCCTGTTCCTGCTCCTCGCACCAAGCCAGTGGTGCGCGTCGCCAGTCCGGCCCGGCCTGTTCCTGCTCCTCGCACCAAGCCAGTGGTGCGTGTCGCCAGTCCGGCCCGTTCCTGCTCAAGGTATTGGAGTGACCATCACAAAGCCCTTCCTCAATCCTATAGAACATTTGTGGGCAGAACTGAAAAAGTGTGTGCGAACAAGGAGGCCTACAAACCTGACTCAGTTACACCAACTCTGTCAGGAGGAATGGGCCAAAATTCACCCAACTTATTGTGGGAAGCTTGTGGAAGGCTACCCGACACGTTTGACCCAAGTTAAACAATTTAAAGGCAATGCTACCAAATACTAATTGAGTGTATGTAAACTTCTGACCCACTGGAAATGTGATGAAAGAAATAAAAGCTGAAATAAATCATTCTCTCTACTATTATTCTGACATTTCACATTCTTAAAATAAATTGGTGATCCTAACTGACCTAAGACATGGAATCTTTACTAGGATTAAATGTCAGGAATTGTGAAAAACTGAGTTTAAATGTATTTGGCAAAGGTGTATGTAAACTTCTGACTTCAACTGTATGTTATACAGGCATATTCACATTGATTTGAAGGCCAAACAGCCTTCAATTAACTGTTCAATTGATCAAGAGTTGTGAAGAGAAGAGACTAAATGGAGAGAAGAGTCTCCAATCCATTGTTTCAGTGAGATTTTTATGCATGCAAAATGAATGACATACAGAGAGAGAGGGCTGTTGTGTTACAAATCACATCACAAACACACTGTGGGTGACAGATGACCTGTTTCAGGAGAAGGAAAGACAGATGGGGGGTTAAGGGCCCCACATGGGGAGAATCTTTATTGCATACTCCTGGTGTCCTTTCCAATGTTCCCTCTAAGCTGCGGGTACAGCTCTCTAGGACTGCCGCGCAGAATAAATATCAGCCCACGCAGAGAAGCACGAGATTGAACTTCACTCAACTTTCTAGAGTTTTCCCCTTTAGTTAACACTATCAACGTTTCCCTTTACTGTGGGAATTGTGATCGAATCAACGCAATATTAGCCACTTTCAATGCAACATACCGAAACAAAACAAACTATGCAAGACTTAGTATGCAAAACAAACTATGCAAGAGATTTTGTTGTAGGCAGAACGCATCGGAGTAGGATTCTATTGCATTGACAGGCAAGACTCAGCCCGTTCTCTACACAGACCGGTGCGCCATAACCAATCAGAGCTGCAGTAGGCCTATATGTAAATAGACCATTGCCATATATGGATCTGTGCCATTCACTTTGACCTGGACTGTTTTTACAGCATTAGCGGGCGTGAGTAAATGCGCTTGTTTTGAGATCAAAGTGAGAGCTGCATGTATCCACGTGCACATTTGTTCATATCCTTTGCTAGTTAGTGAGTTATTAGCCCAGTTATAGATCATTTGTAGTCAGCAATGGGGGAGTGATTGCTTCCTACAAGAGCACAAAACTTGTGCATTTCTAGACTTTGAAAAGTGAATCAGGTAAAGAGCTTTTTTTTTGTCTTAAAGGGGCAGTGTTGTATTTTGAGACAGGCTTGAATAAGCTAAGGCGCCAATAGGCAGAGGGTAGCATAACTTGTCTGATTCTCTGTAATAAAAGTATGGGAATAATTATGCATTTTATTTTGTAAAGTGGTTTCTTGCATCAAACAACACAACAACATTTTCAGTCACCTCCTTGTCTGAAGGACAAGTGGATAAACAGGTTAATGTCAAGCTCTGCATGTTTTTTTTCAAAAGTCTGGAATATAGACCTACTTTGAACACCACACATTGGCTGCTACTGTAGGCTGAACGATAGAACAGCTATTTCCATGTGAAAATGTTATGGGATGCATTTCCTCCATTTTTGATGGTAGGCCACTCTGGTAGGCCTACATTATGATCAAATAGCCACAGTAGCCTACTTGACCACTGTTAAAACTAACTTAAAGTTGGTACAGCCTCAGTGTTCACAGTAAACGCGCCGCCGGAAGTTGCACAGAATTTTCACAACGTTCAAGTTTGTGCTCATCAGACCTGAAATTTGCTCAGTGACGCAGAAAATGAGAGGGAACATTGATCCTCTCTTCTCAACTCCTTCTCAAAACCCTTCGGAGGAGGTCAGAGGGGAGGGACCTCTGGCTTTCTCATTCAATGAGTTTTGAGAAGGAGATGAGGAGAGAAAGGACGCGAGACGTATAGCAATTGAGATCTTCCCATGGTCTCTGTTCCCTATATTACTTCCTGCGTTATCATAGTGGGTGGGATTCAGCTGGCTAACCTCTGACCTCTTACCTGTACCCATTTCAGTCACTTGGAAAGGAAATACAGCTATATGACAACATGACAAAACTCTCACCACACATCATCCCATCCACACATGGTTGTCAGTGGATCCATCCATCCCCCAAAGCCATCCAGCATCTGGCTGGAAGCCCCTGATGCCTCTGGTAGATGGAGTTCTGTGAGGTGGAATGCTTTTGATGTAATCCCCAGAGCATTGAAGCCAATAGTGAAGGGAATACTATTTACTGTATGTGTTGTGAAAGGTGCTTTGTCTTATGATGAGTTTCAGCAGGGAATTAGTTTAGTCTCTGGGTATATAAATGGAACTCTTCATTGTATGCATCCATCTTCAGTAGGGATGTGCATATTTTCCTTTCAAAATGATTCGATACGTATCTAGATATGATACAGGAACGATAGGTTTTAGTTTGAAACAATTCGTTTTGATTAGAGGAACGAATCGATTCGATGCGATACGATTCGATGTACTGGGCCTCTCTGAGCTGGATCTGTCTGAGCTGACTGTGTGTATGTATGTAGGCTCCTAAGCTAAACCATAAGGGAAACTACTTTTGATCTGAAATCACCATCACCCACTAATGAATTTGTTATTTTTGCAGATTAAAAGTGTTAGAGCTAGTAATGTATCAATATTTATCTTTAAAAATGTGCAATAGCCAATGAATATGCAGTACAATTTTGGATTTCACCCCCGTCTCATAATCTAATGGTTTAGACTGTTTGGAAGTTTTGACAGGGTTGGAATAAGCTTCTCTTCTTCTCTGCTTTGACCATGCAGTGCGAGTAGCAAAAGCGATTGCTGTCCTTGTTATGAAATTATCTACTTTACCCTGTATATCTACAAATGACCATATATACTGATTGTTTCAAGCAAAACTACCAAAACGATTGCTGATGGTGAACCTGAACAATCAAAATAAAATAGAATGTAATCCCCGATCACCATGTAGCCTACCTATAGCCAGATGAGAGTTGTGTCTCCGGTGGTAGCTTCGGCTACTTTTATTCAACAGCACATTTTATGAAAATAGCCTAGCAAAATACATTGGTTAACATAAAGTTTAATATTGCGCAATCCATTTGACAATCATTTGAATGCTGAAGGTGACACGCATATGTGCCAGATTAGGAATAGGCCTAGCTCTCGTTGGTCAGCGTGCGAAACTGCGTACAGTGTGCAGTTTGACTAGGCTACTGATACTGTTCGGCATGAAAAATGACTTGTAGATCAATGATTGTCAACACAATTACATGCTTATTTTAGTTTGACACTGAAGGTGAGGACGCAATTGTCACAAAAGATAAGAGGTACTATTTACAGAACGTAGAAAGAAAGTAATTTGACAAAAAATTATTTGGAATATATTTATTTCCTGACCGATCGTGCTACATTTGAATCGAGTTTGGGGTCCCGCAGAACGATGCACTCATATCTTAAACATTTGAACCAGGGACCGATGCATATCGGTGAATTGCTACAACCCTAATCTTCAGTATTCCTCAGTCAGACAATGTTTGATTTGATCCAGTTAGATCAGCAGTTTTCTCTCTCTCTTCTCCCTCTAAAATCTTTTTCACTCTACTGATCCGAGCTTAGCTGTCCTGCACTGTCCTGGCTTCGCATCCACCATAGTTGCTGGAGCCAGCACAGTTCGGGTTGGCACAATAGTGTGAAAAGGGCTTAACTGTGTGCAGGCCCAGGCTTGGTAGATTGAGCCTTCTTCATGGACAGAGGTTCAAGCCGGTCTTTCCTCGCTCCCCTGTAAGAATGGTGTTTAGGAAACACAGAGAGAACAGGAAAGGCAGAGCAGGCCAGGGAAGAATAGAGGGATATCCCCTTACAGGGTACCCACCTTTTTCCTTCAGGATAGAGGGGGTATGTAAATCACACCACCTGTCTACACACACAGACTAACACACACGCATGTGCCCGCACATACACGCAAACACAAGCATCTGGGGTAGTCCTCGTCAGGCTGGTGTTGTTTTGGTGTGTGTTTGTGTATTTGTGTGTGTGTGTGTGTGTGTGTATGCCGGTGTGCGCTCATGCACATGTGTATGTGTGTGTGTGTGTGTGTGTGTGTGTGTGTGTGTGTGGTAGTGTGAGACCCTCCTGACCATCCCCCGATTAGGCTTCTGTGGCCTAGTGGATTAGAGCAGGATCAATCCTGGCCGATATTACTGGAGTTCCCTAAGAATGAGCCCTGGATGCAGCCTGTAGCCGGTGGAGCATGTAGCTTGGGGCCAGCCTGGGCTTTAAGGCTTAACACCCCCATTTTAATTACGCTTGACCAGAGAGGAAAAGTAGTACAGCAAATCAGACAAGCTGTGATTTCCTGGGCTGTGGGGTGGGGTGGGTAAATCACTGAATGCAATTACATTTCATTGGTGTAGTTGGTGTCCAGACCAGGGTAGTAGATGCAATATTACGTTGAGGTTGAATGGGCTGTTGTGTTGGATTGATTACTTTTGACATTTTCCTTTAAGATTTTGGTTGGAGAAAATAACTGCTAGCTGAGCTGACTGGTGTCCCTTGTTGTGATATGCAATGCTGCCCCCCAGTGGTTCTGTAAACCCATCTCTCCCTCTCTCCAGGTGCCACCAGGGACATAGGTTCAGCTCTGACCAGGATGTGCATGAGACACCGCAGCATCGAGACTAAACTACGCCACTTCACCAAGTAAGTGGTCCACCTTCAACCCTGCCTGATTCCTCTCCCTTCATCTCTGTGCATTGCTAATGGTGCTACAAGTCCTGTGCTTACTCTCCCTATTCTTTCCTCTCCTCCCCAGTGCTCTTATGGAAGGCCTAGTCACTCCCCTCCAGGACAGGATAGAGGAATGGAAAAAGACAGCTAACCTGCTGGACAAAGACCACGCCAAAGGTGAGGGTTGATGTTAAAAGGGCTATATATATTGAATTTGATTGATTGATCAAGTCAATCAACAAATGACACTTAATTCCAGAGTGACGTCTCCTTCTCTCCTCATCAGAATACAAGCGGTCTCGCCAGGAGATCAAGAGGAAGTCCTCAGACACCATGAAGCTCCAGAAGAAGGCCAGGAAAGGTAACATCTAACCGCACCCTGTGACATGATCTGATTGGCTACTGCTAAAAACAATTGGTTACTGATTGGCTACTGTTAAAAACTCTGTCCAAAACAGGCTGTAGACTAGATAGAGGATGTTTGTAGTACTGCTGTAGGCTAGTTACCATCACCTAACTGGGAGATACCACCACCTAGTGCCCTGAATGAGAAATGCATTGTCATGGGTTTCAAATGAGGGGTAAATCAGAATTTAAGGCTATCATTCAAAAGGTTTGGTGAGTTTGGAGGTAAAGGAAATATGAGGTTTATGTGTATCTATCTCCATTCCTATAACTATGACAGTGCTAACTCTAATATTGGGCTTTCTGTCTATGCTCCCCCCCCCCCCCCCCCCCTCTTTCCACCAATGCTACCTATCTGTCTACTCCTCTGCCTCCTCACTGGCCTATTCCCCTGCTGTAGAGCTTCTAGGTATGTGTGCTATGCTCTCCCCACATGCTAATATGCATTGCATGAGGCATTTCATGATAATTTTATAGTTATTATCCGTTGTGTGTGTGTGTTTCTGTGTGTGTCCTGCATCATCACGTCATTGTGTCTGACCATCTCACCTGGAGTGTTGTGTCTGTCTGATACTGGTGTCTCCTATCACTTTTAACATATCCCTCCTCTGTGTTGGGGAGTAGTGAACTATATGTAGTTCAACTAGTAATTTAACTACATTTTGCATTTTGCAGTAACTGTGCTTTCAACTACATTCAAATCAAGGTAGTGTTTTCAGTAGTTAATTACTTTTTTTCCATGTAGCGGTGTAGGTAACTACTGGAACTACACACTACGTAGAAATCTGGGAGAAGTAGCCCAGAATTTCCTTTATTTTTTGACATCAGATCTGCCAAATTCTCACTTGAAGTTGAGTTTTTGTTTTTAATAGGCTAAATCTGACTCCAGTCCAGAGTGATCTGTTCTTGCAATTTGTAGTCTATGATGTTTCAGATTTACATATGATTAATCACTAAGTAGTTTGGATGTAGTGAACTACTTTTTCAAAGTAACTTTAGTTAAGTAAACTATATGTTTCTTAAGGGTAGCTTTAGTGTAGCTTAACTTCTTCCAGTGTGAATTAATTAGTAGCTTGGTAAACTATATTTTAGCTTCCCCAACACTGCCTCCTCTTCATACACCTCTTGGTCATCATGTCACCATGTTTCATAATGTGGGTGCAAAATGGTTTGGTTACAGTCTCTTGAGTTGAATGGTACTAGTCACTGGTAATTTTCCACGGTCACTTGTAATTTTCCACAGTTGTTCAGTAACCTCTTTACATACCACACAGAGGAGTGAATTATTACTAGCTCATTATCTATAGGGCACTAAAAGCCAGGCGAAAATCTAGTTTCCTCTGGTTAGGCTTTAAAGATCCTATCACTCCTCTATCTTAGACATATAGGCTATGAGAACTGGTTAGAACCTGTTCTCATTTGTAATATTTTTCTAAGGAAGTGGAGCCAATTACCCCCTATCTATTTTCTTAGCTTGCCTCCCCCTAGAAGGGGGTATAGCTCTTTGTGTAGCTGAAGTATATAGCGACTGTGTCATTTGTAAATTAACTAGATTCTCTCCGGGTTCATCCTGAGAGAGGGATTTTCCTTGCAATTGCTCAAATAAACCGATTACTGATAAAAGGATTCTGCCTGATTCCTTGAATTAGTTTTCCTCAACAATAAGGCCGTCTTATACTTGGCAGCTGAATATGTCATCAGTGTTGTATTTACCTGTGCTAGTTAACCATGTCCATTTCAGGAACTCCATCCATATTATGTGGTTTTTTTTGGTCACATACCACAGATAGATACAGTGTTGTTTTACAGGGTCAGCCATAGTAGTGCGGCACCCATGGAGCAAATGAGGGTTAAGTGCCTTGCTCAAGGACACCAACAGATTTTTCACCTTGTCCGCTCGGGTATTTGAACCAGCAACCTTTTGCTTACTGGCCCAACACACTAACCCAGTAGCCTACCTGCAGAGTTGTTGTTCCTAATCTCATTTAAGATATGTGCTGTAGTTTCGTCCCATTCTCATTGACGCGTATCATTTCAGTGCAGTGTCGTTTGTCAATGGTGGTCTGTCCTACGGCACACCTGCAGGCCCAAACCTAGCAGAGGGTTCTAATCACCACTCTTTGTTCTCCTCCTCCTCTCTCATTTCATCCTCATCCTCTAACCATCTTACCCAATGCCCCTCATCCCCATGTACCCTGTTCCTCCTTCTCTCACTATTGACCCCTCCCTCCGCTATCCCCTGCCCCTCACCCCTTCTCTCACCTTCCTCTTTTATCTTCCCTCCTCTATGTACTCTTCTCTCTTTCCCCCCTCCCCCTCCTCTCCTCCTCCCCAGGCCGGGGGAACCTGCGTCCCCAGCTGGACAGTGCCATGCAGGACGTCAGTGACCTCTACCTGCTGATGGGGGAGACCGAGAAGCAGGCGGTGCGCCGGGCCCTCCTAGAGGAGAGGGGGCGCTACTGCTTCTTCATCAACCTGTTGAAGCCTGTGGTGGTGAGCACAGATCTAGGTTCAGCCTATCCAAATCCAAATCCTTTGCTATTATAGGGAAAAACTTCACTTACTTTAGATCAGTCTGTGATTGTGAGAGAGGAGGGATGATGATAGACTTGGCTGGGGTGGGCGCTGGGTCACAGATCCAGGATAAGACTACCCTCCCTAAATCTTAACCTTAACCAGTATGTAGGAAAAACCTGCCTGACTGTAGATCAGCGTATGGTGGTGACAGAGGAGGATTGCTGAGATACCAGGGTGGGGTGGGCTCCTGGGAGACGTTGCCTTGGCTTTAGGCTAGAGTCCTGCACGGCAGGGTTGAGGTCAATTCCACAAATTAAATTATATTCTCTCTCCCTGTTAATTTCATTTAATTCAATTCAAATTCCAGGGCAGTCTTTAAATTCAGAGATAATTCAATTCCTCTGAATTCCAATGTTAGGTAAATTCCAAGAATTCAATTCCCAATTCAATAATATCCCCAACAATTCCAAATATTCCTATTCTAATTCAGTGCCCTCAGGCTTTCATGCTGATCATGTCACTGTTCAGACAGCCTAGCTGTACTGGAAATATAGGAATACAGGTTGAAATGAATAAAATCAAATCCTACAGTACATTTCTTATACTATGTGCATTAATTCCATTAACTGGCAAATGGAAAAAATATTGAATTCCAATTCAATACCAAAGATTAAATGTTTTACAATTCCAATTCAATTCCAATTCAAAAAGTCAAATCAGTCTAATTCCAATTCAATTCCAATTCCATAACTTGAAGATTTAAAAAAATGTGAATTACATTTTTCTCGGCAAGATGAGCCACCCGCATAGAATTGTTCAGAGAGCCAATTCGTGACCCGCCAAATAACATCAATTTATTTCATTGTTTTTATGAGTAGTAGGCTATTAGGCTATGCCCAATCCCTGCATTAATTAATTTGTCTGCATGTCTACATTTGGATAAACGGAAACCATGCCATGAATTAATAAGAATAATAGGCCTATCTTCTTATTGTCACAATGCGATGCGGCACATTGACAACTCAAATCGCTTCGAAAAAGAGCCCTCTAACTAACATTCTGTTGACCTAATAAAGCCTATACCGATATAACAAAACAATACTTTTACATTCAATATTGTTTAGATAATCAAATAGTTCAATTGAGACTTAAATAAACAATTCCCAGAATCGAATAGGCTACAGGCTGCAAAAATACATTTATTTAGCAGGCTATTGGCTTCTCAAACTTTTACCAGCCACACAGGTTTAAACTTTACACGGCCTGTGTATGGTCTAAATGAACGAAAGCCTGAATTTACAGAATGTAATAATTAACTGATCATTTATGAATTATCATCAACAAATACCTGCTGCTTGCACTTTTGCAGGCTGAGTATCCATCTACCGGGTTGTTGTCCTCTTTGTCCACAATGACTCCAAAATCCTTCCAAACTGTTTCTACAGTGGGGTAAACCACCATCATAACCTTTCTTTCTATTTCTCCTGTTACGTTAGCCATTTTTGCGTGAGCTAGGAGTCAGGGAAAATAAACTTGGCAACTTATTGTCGCGTGGCAGAAGGGAACATAAGATCTGCACGTGGACAAATTAGGAATGTTTCAGCACCACACAAATAATGGACAGTTCCCTGCTCCACTCTCTCACTGCGTGGCTGGTAGCCTAGGCCATGTCTGCCTCACTGCTCACATAATGGGATTCGCAACACATTTCAACACAACAAGCTCCTGGGTTTGTACAGAAAATATTATCCTGATTTAATTCAAACGTTTCTGACCCGCAATATAATTGTTCTGAAACGCCAGCCGACCACTGGTTGAAAGAATGTTTTCATTCCACCCACCAGCTGATTTTTTTGCAGGTCAACCACAGGGAACTGTGGGTATCTGACCCAATGTAGGACTCTACTTTAGGCACAGATCTAGAACCCGCTTACCCAGCTCAAATCTTAACCATTTTATGGAAAACATTTACTGACCATACTTAGATCAAAGTCTAGGGGCAACTGCATCCTTCTGTCCACAGTGGAGTTGTTTGGTGGTCTTAACTTTCATGTTAAAGTTGTTTGTTTGTCACAGTTATTTCACTTAGTCTTTCAGTTATTTCAGTTAGTCTTTCAGTTATTTTAGTTAGTATTTCAGTTATTTCAGTTAGTCTTAAATAATGCACATGCTGTGTCTTTGTGTGTTGCTGAGCGAAAGGTCTTGTTGTTGCTCCTCTTCAGAATGGAGAGATAGCCATGCTGGGAGAGATCACTCACCTGCAGGCCATTGTTGATGACCTCACTGTGCTCACTGAAGACCCTCACAAACTGCCCCCGGCTAGTGAGCAGGTAATCTCCAACATGCACACAAAAGCACACAACTTTCCTTATTCAATAAATCAGTCTTGCAAGCACACATGCTCAACCAGTAACACATACACACAAACACACACACACACACACACACATAATCCTAGCAAATTGTCAAACAGTGAATGCACTGAGTGTAAGGCTATGTCTGCCTCACTGTTCACATAATGGAATTCGCAACAAATTTCAACACAACAAGCTCCTGGGTTTGTACAAAAAATATTATCTTGATTTAATTCAAACGTTTCCGACCCGCGAGCCGCGAGCCGACCACAGGTATTGCTTGTGCAAATTCCCTCCTCTCTCTCTCCAGGTGATCGGGGACCTGAAGGGTTCAGACTACAGTTGGTCCTACCAGACCCCTCCCTCCTCCCCCAGCAGTGCTGCCTCCAGGAAGAGCAGTATGTGCAGTATCCTCCAGATGCCAACTGTTGGTGCCCATCGTCTCAGTAGCGTCTCCTCCCATGATTCAGGGTTCATCTCTCAGGATGCCAACACCCACTCCAAGCCCCCCTCACCCATGCCCTCTGACATCACCAGCCAGGTAGACACACCTCTGAGTCAGTCAGACTCTAGCCTCCACTCCAGGTTCTCCGTCACGCTCTTGATTATTGAGACTTGGGAGTATGGTAATGTGCAGACCTGTGTTCAACTACATGTGTGATTATTTGTTATTTCAATATGTATGTTCTGTGTATTTCAGTATTAAAATAATATGGCCCAAATCTAATACTTCTATTTGAAGTATTTAAAAGTATTTTCAAATAATTTCCTAGAAACATCCTACTATTTGAAAGTATTTTCAAATACTTATTTCAAATACTATTTTCAAATGCGTGGGTTAAATGCATGGGAGGGAGTATATTTTAATCAGTGTATTTGGCTATTTTCAAATACTTTCCAAGTGGATTTCCAAATACATTCCAACATTCAACTACTTGTCTTTTCAAGTAAAAAATGTGTAAATACTTACTTCCAAATGTCTTTGAAAGTAATTGAAATACCCTAAATAGTATTTGAACCCAGGTCTGGTAACGTGAGTCTTGTCAGACCCATGAGGAGGAGAATCCTGTTTTTGGCTGGTATTTGTTATTGCTTATACCATCAAGCCTGTAAGATGATGCTAGAGTTTTCCTCCTTGATATACTATGAATTATTGTGGCCGACGGATGTTAGAATTACTCCGAAAATAGAATGGGCATCAGGGAGGGAAACTGATGCAATGTTCCATAGCAAAATAGCAATATTGTGTGATGGTTTGTTATAGAAGTGTAAATAGTTCCTGAAGTTATATTCTTTCCCCATGTCTTATTTTCCTTCCCTCTCACTCTCTTCCTCTTTTCTCAATCTCACTCACTTCTTGTCCCTCTCTTTATCTATTTCACCCTCTCTCCGTCTCTCCCACTTCTCTTCTCTCTCTCCATCTTTCTCACTCCTCTTCTCTCTCTCTCCATCTTTCTCACTCCTCTTCTCTCTCTCCGTCTCTCCCACTTCTCTTCTCTCTCCGTCTCTCCCACTTCTCTTCTCTCTCCGTCTCTCCCACTTCTCTTCTCTCTCTGTCTCTCCCACTTCTCTTCTCTCTCCGTCTCTCCCACTTCTCTTCTCTCTCTCTCCATCTTTCTCACTCCTCTTCTCTCTCCGTCTCTCCCACTTCTCTTCTCTTGCCATCTTTCTCACTCCTCTTCTCTCTCTCCATCTTTCTCACTCCTCTTCTCTCTCTCCATCTTTCTCACTCCTCTTCTCTCTCCGTCTCTCCCACTTCTCTTCTCTTGCCATCTTTCTCACTCCTCTTCTCTCTCTCCATCTTTCTCACTCCTCTTCTCTCTCACCATCTTTCTCACTCCTCTTCTCTCTCCATCTTTCTCACTCCTCTTCTCTCTCTCCATCTTTCTCACTCCTCTTCTCTCTCCATCTTTCTCACTCCTCTTCTCTCTCTCCATCTTTCTCACTCCTCTTCTCTCTTCATCTCCTTTCTCCTTTTCTCTCACTCCATCTTTTATTCCATCTACAGAAGTCCACCAGCTCAGCCTCCTCTGAGGCATCAGAAACCTGCCAATCTGTCAGTGAATGCAACTCTCCCACTGCGGTTAGTACATGCACGCACACACACACACACACACACACACACACACACACACACACACACACACACACACACACACACACACACACACACACACACACACACACACACACACACACACACACACACACACACAAACTGTGACATATCTATGGCTTAAGAGGCCCAGAGGGATCTTGCTATAGTATGTAATGAACATGCTGACTCAGATATGTCTGTCCATTCCGCAGTTTGGCTCTGGCTCATCCTTTGGTACCTTCCGCCCCGCTCTCTCACACACTGGCTCCATCAGGCCTCTCTCTGTCATACTTCCTGGGTCCCCCACATTTAACCGCTATCCTGGATCAAAAAACCCCTCACCCATCTCAAAGGGTCCTAGCTGGAAGGTTTGTTTTAATTTGCTGCTTTTCCTTTTTAATCTTTTATTTGCCTAACTGCTTTTTCATTGGCTTTAACAACTCATTTGCATAACTCATGATGCATAATAACTTCATGATCTCTCTATCCATTCTGTTGTCAAACTCAGCTTTCAAATCTCTCATGCCAAAGATTTGCTAAGCTGAGCGGACTTTGCTAAACTCATTGTTATAGAATGTTCATGCTTAGGGCTCAGCATTTTAGCCTGGTCTCAGATCTATTGTGTAGACAGCACAAACAGATCTGGGACCATGCTATTAGAATGTAACCTCTTCATGGACCCCCATACTGTTTCCATTGTACCACAATGGAAAAAACTTCTGAACTGCTGAATGATAGACATGTCCAATCCAAGGGTACATTGTTTAGTTAATTTCCTCATTGCCTCAATAATACTGCCACAGGATTGGTCTAAAACAAGTACCTACGAGCCCTCATTGGCTACCACTCTGCAGCAAAGGAGAGAGTCATTGGACAGGATGAGGGAGCAGGAGGTTCCTTCCAGTCCTAAAGGGTTCTCTGGGATGCACCCAGACACTCATAGGTCCAGGCTGGCCCAAGCTACCATAGCAGCCAAGGTAATGATGAGCACACATTGGAGACAGTAACAGTACTCAACAATCAGCATGAGTTGTTGAGATGTGGATTTTAATGTTTGCCACTACTATTGTATGGTAATGTGAGTCTCCTCTCTCTTCTCTCTCTCTCTCTCTCTCTCTCTCTCTCTCTCTCTCTCTCTCTCTCTCTCTCTCTCTCTCTCTCTCTCTCTCTCTCTCTCTCTCTTTCTTTCTTTCTCGTTCTCTCTCTCTCTGTTTTCTCTCTCTCTCTGTTTTCTCTCTCTCTCTCTGTGTGTGACCATGTGCGCCTTTGTGTGTGTGTGTGTGTGTGTGTGTGTGTGTGTGTGCAGCACGGCGGTGAGGCCATGTCCCCAGCAGCCAGTACACTAGCCATGGTGCTGACCCGAGGTCTCAGTATAGAGCAGCAGAAGAATAGCCGGGAATCTCTGCAGTACTCCAGTGGCTACAGCACCCAGACCAACACACCATCCTGCTCAGAGGACACCATCCCCTCACAGGGTAACATACTCTGATGAACACCACATGTATCCCTTCAAACAGTAGTACCTGAAATTGTATAGAAAATCCAATAGGATCCTGCTGTCTCATGCATAAAGCCTGATCAGTTTGAATTAATTCTCTCTCTCCTGTCCTCAGGGTCTGACTATGAGTGCTACTCTCTGAACGGGGACGCTGACACCGGCAGAGAGGCTGACTTCGACAAGTCCTCCACCATCCCCCGCCACAGCAACATCGCCCAGAACTACCGCCGCATGATCCAGACCAAGAGGCCGGCTAGCACCGCCGGGTTGCCCGCCGGAGTGAGCCCTCCTGGGGGTACGCATGGAGTGATTTATGGGGGTGATGGAGGGCGTGACGGGGGGCGTGATGGAGGGCGTGACGGGAGGCACGGAGCCATCACCTCTGGAACAGCCACCATCCGCCGGACTCCCTCCTCCAAAACAGGGGTGAGACGCACCCCGTCCACCTCAGGCCCCATCCCCATCCGCCCCCCCATCGTTCCAGTCAAGACCCCCACGGTGCCAGACTCTCCTGTCTACTCCCCCAGTTACTCCCCCAGCTACTCTCCCAGCCTTACCCAGCGCATGGGCAGCGAAGAGTACCTGTATGGGGACGAGACACCACCCAGTGCCCTGGAGTACATGAAGGCCTCCCCCAAGCGGCTGAGCCTACCTGACACCACTGCCTGGAGCTCCGGAGGGGGGCTAGACCGAAGCGTCTATGCCCAGCAGCCCCCTGGCATGACTGGCCTCGGCCTAGAGGAGGATCCCCAGCTGGCAGCCAACCGCCACAGCCTGGTGGAGAAGATAGGTGAGCTTGCGGCTAGCGCCCACGCCCTGGGCGAGGGTCAGTTCCCCTTCCCCTCTCTGGACCCTCTGCCAGTGGACCCAATCGGAACCAACTCTTTACCCCAACACCCACAACACCCACCCCCCGAGCCCCAGGAGGGCATGGACATGCTGGTGTCCATACGGAGGGGTGTGAGGCTCCGCAAGGCGGTCTCCAACGACAGATCAGCCCCCAGGATACTGCAGGATACTGCAGCAGCATCCAGGATACTGCGGTAGTATCTACTGGGACTGACCCCAGAACTGTGGTGCCACTGCAAGCTCTAGAAGAGAAATGAATGAACACTCATCCTGTACAGGAAAAGACTGTATGAAATGAAAGGGAAAATGAGTGTCAATGTGTAAAGATTCAATGAATGGCCATGGGTGGCCAATGGACAAATGTCATGTAATGAATTGCGTACAAATATATTTTTATGTCATATTCCTGTTTTCCATGTTGCTTAGTGGCTTGGCTGTTGTTGTCTATTCCCTCTGTCTCCTGATGCATCAGCCCAGACACCTTTCCTTTAGACTCAGTGATCAGGGCCTGTATTCACAAAGTGTCTCAGAGTAGGTGTGCTGATTAATTTATAATGAATACAATTATATGGACAATGGTGCTGAGCGATTAGTCCTTTTTGAGGTCTGTTCGGTTTCAGTTTTATAATATATATTTTTAATAACATTAAATACACTATGCATTATGTGGGTTGAATGCTGTAACAACACAGAATAAAACAATTAATAAAAGTCCCATGATGGTAGTGTCTGCCCATTACTGCTTATCACTTATTAACCATAGTTTATTCATATTACTTTACTTTAATAAAATATTTCAGTTGTTGTGTATTTAAACATTTTATTTGATGACTTTATCATTTCATTCCAAGTCATCATCTCTCTCGATCGCGCATTCTTCTGTCTCTTTTACGTAGTAGGCTTAAAAGAAACAGACCGGACAAGTAGGCGTGCAATGGATTATGGTCACCACGTTTTCTGCGCTTAACTATGTAGAATATTGGCCTGTTGGAAACTACTACAACTCCCTATTACATCACACAGTTCGGGCTTGATCTGATTGTTCTCTAGAGAAACTGCACAATCTGTGCATTTAGCTCAAAGAAAAAAACGGAACGAAATGGAATTCAAATAATTGAACCAACGTCTGTCAAACTGAAATTTCAGTTAATCGCTCAGCACTAATGGACAAGGACAATTTTATCCTAGATCAGCACTCCTACTCTTAGATACTCTATGAATATGGGCCCAGGAGGTCATTACAAAATGGCGGTTGAATGCTCTGTGTCTTATTGTGTGTGTACTAACACAGCCATCTGTTGTCTGAAAGTGATGGGGTCAAGTTGCTCTGTGAGCCTGTCTGTATGTTATTTTGTGTATTATTCTACTGATGTATGAATTGCCGTTTGTATCATAAGCTGAACACCAAGTATGTTACATATCGGATAAATGTAAAAGTCATGTAAAATAGGAGTGATATGGCAGTGTTTTTATTGCTGTACTGTACTATCAATTTATTCTGCAATTAAACCAACCTTTTTCTGTAGAGTGATGTTGACCTTTATTTTGGGTCTGTGAGATGTTATATGATGTACACAAATAGATTGAGATTTTACAGTTTTTATGACTTAGCCTATAGGCTAATTGAAAATCCAAGTGTAGTTTCCTTATGGAATTGTTATTAGGCTATGTAGTAGTTTTAGATGAAAGAGCACATGGTTTTCAGGACAGGTGGTGTAAGAGCCATTTCAGCCTGGTCTCATAGACTAGGCATAACATACTAAATGTTTATCTGGGACACTCAAATTAGTTTGATATGATACGTTTAGTATGGTTACATAAGATGGTTACTTAAGGCAAAAACATAAAGGTTGCGTGTTCGAATCTCGTCAGGGACAACTTTAGCATTTGAGCTAATTAGAAACTTTTCAACTACTTACTACTTTTTAGCTACTTTGTAAATACTTAGCATGTTAGCGAACCCTTCCATTAACCCTAACCTTAACCCTTTTAGCTAACCCTAACCTTAACCCTTTAACCTAACTCCTAACCTTAACCCTAACTCCTAAACCCTAGCTTAGCTAACATTAGCCAGCTAGCTAAATTAGCGTTAGCCACCTAGCCACCTAGCTAACGTTAGCTACAACAAATTGGAATCCGTAACATACACGTTTTGCAAATTCGTAACATAACATACAAATTGTAATTCGTAACATATCATACGAAAAGGATGATGGACATCCATACCATACGAAATGTAACATATCATATGAAATGGAGTCTCGGATGTACATACAGAATAATACTAAATAAAAAAATAAAAAATAAACGGACATTTGAAATTACATTTACGTCATTTAGCCGACGCTCTTTTCCAGAGCGACTTACAGTTAGTGAGTGCATACATTATTTTTTATACCCCCTATGGGAATCGAACCCATAACCCTGGCGTTGCAAACGCCATGCTCTACCAACTGAGCTACATCCCTGCCAGCCATTCCCTCCCCTACCCTGGACCAATTGTGCGCAGCCCCACGGGTCTCCCAGTCACAGCCGGCTACGAACCAGGATCTCTAGTGGCACAGCTAGCACTGCAATGCAGTGCCTTAGACCACTGCGCCACTCGGGAGGCCAATACATGTAGGCTCTCCCTGACAGGACACTATGAGACTGAGCACTTAATAATAACCAGAGTGGCTGCGATATGTTGACTGGACTGATGGTGGAGCCAGACACCTTTCATCTGATTGGTGAAGCATGGGTGACTGGGCAAAACTTTAAAGCCACAAGAAAAGGACATCCGACGCGACAGGCGTGGAGGGTGGACTTGCCCTATATAGCTTAACAAATTAGTACTTTTCCCCCACCTACGTCCAGAGAATGAATTATACAATAGAACATATTCTAATGATCTAGTCTTCATATGATGAATGGGACATTCTGGAAAGTATTTCATTCATGTGTATATGCATAAATTCTTTGTAGTCTGAATAGTACATAATTATCTCATTCCCACATCTACCTAGAGATAAATAAAATATCTGAGATATCTGGGAGAGACATCTTGAACTGATTTTATTTTTAGTTCATTTTTAATGACATAATTATCTCCCAGCTCCTCTGATAGTAGAGGAATTCATTTAGTGAACTAATAGTGTGGCATGATTCTGTAAGATCGGCAACAAGGTCTCCTCTTAATCAATGATTATTTGTGAGTGTAATCACTTAGCTAGGACTCAAGCTCTTCTAATCAGTAAAGCCATAATAGAGCCTCTCCGCTGAGCTTCACAAGAGACCCTGTTGGTGCAAGGCCTTGGGTGAATTGTTAGTTAGAACCAGCCTATTAGGTAGACAATGCTGTTATTGTCATTTACAATGACATAGGCCTATTCTATTCTCTGGGCTTCCTTCGTGACTAATTGTGTTTGAGGGGGAGGAATGTGAAGAATATATTCTCTCACACACACACACACTCACACACTCACACACACACACAATGGAAAAAAACCAACCAACAATAAAACTTTCACTCATCTCAATCTGTTCTTTGATACTTTGTTGCAGAAGATGATACTGTATATGACAACCCCGCCCCCATGATAATCGACAAACGTAAAAGACTAAACTTGATTTTGAATATGATGCTCTGTTCATAACTAATGAGTATATTTTTAACAGTTCATTAATTCACAATGATCATGTCTATGCCGTTACGGTATAGCTGAAGTAGTTCACTAGGTGGTCCCTTGAGGGAGGCTTACAGCTGTGAGCCAATTAGCAATAGTTTAAATATCTTTATTTATGCAGCTTCTATATGGCTACAGTGTAGAGTCAGTATGAATGTGTGTGCATGTTATGTGTGTGTGAGCTAATTAAGTGTGTGTGTGTGTGTGTGTGTGTGTGTGTGTGTGTGTGTGTGTGTGTGTGTGTGTGTGTGTGTGTGCATACATGGACCTAAACTCAGCAAAAAAAGAAACTTCCCTTTTTCAGCATCCTGTCTTTCAAAGATATTTCATAAGAATCCAAATAACTTCACAGATCTTAATTGTAAAGGGTTTAAACACTGTTTCCCATGCTTGTTCAATGAACCATAAACAATTCATGAACATGCACCTGTGGAACGGTCATCAAAACACTAACAGTTTACAGACGGTAGGCAATTAAGGTCACAGTTATGAAAACTTAGGACACTAAAGAGGCCTTTCTACTGACTGAAAAACACAAAAAGAAAGATGCTCAGGGTCCCTGCTCATCTGCGTGAACGTACCTTAGGCATGCTGCAAGGAGGCAGGCATGAGGACTGCAGATGTGGCCAGGGCAATAAATTGCAATGTCTGTACTGTGAGACGCCTAAGACAGCGCTACAGGGAGACAGGACGGACAGCTGATCGTCCTCGCAGTGGCAGACCACGTGTAACAACACCTACACAGGATCGGTACATCCAAACATCACACCTGTGGGACAGGTACAGGATGGCAACAACAACAGTGCTCAGACTGTCCGCAATAGGCTGTTAGAGGCTGGACTGAGGGCTTGTAGGCCTGTTGTAAGGCAGGTCCTCACCAGACATCACCGGCGATGGGTTTGTGCCTATGGGCACAAACCCACCGTCGCTGGACCAGACAGGACGAGTCGCGGTTTTGTCTCAGCAGGGGTGATGATCGGATTCGCGTTTATCGTCGAAGGAATGAGCATTACACTGAGGCCTGTACTCTGGAGTGGGATCGATTTGGATGTGGAGGGTCCATCATGGTCTGGGGCGGTGTGTCACAGCATCATCGGACTGAGCTTGTTGTCATAGCAGGCAATCTCAACGCTGTGTGTTACAGGGAAGACATCCTCCTCCCTCATGTGGGACCCTTCCTGCAGGCTCATCCTGACATGACCCTCCAGCACGACAATGCGAAGAGTCCAGATCTCAATCCCACTGAGCACGTCTTGGACCTGTTGGATCGGAGGGTGAGGGCTAGGGCCATTCCCCCCAGAAATGTCAGGGAACTCACAGGTGACTTGGTGGAAGAGTGGGGTAACATCTCACAGCAAGAACTGGCAAATCTGGTGCAGTCCATGAGGAGGAGATGCACTGCTGTACTTAATTCAGCTGGTGGCCACACCAGATACTGACTGTTACTTTTGATTTTGACCCCCCCCATATTTGTTCATACAAATATTTACACATGTTAAGTTTGCTGAAAATAAACACAGTTGACAGTGAGAG